TGGAGAGTTCTAGTCCCGTCTTAGGCATGAAAGCCAGTTGGGTGACTTTGGGCCCATCTCTCTTTCGGTCTAACCTACCTCACGGGATTTTTGTGGGACAAAATAAGGGGAGGCAGAGTATTACATATGTTCACTGCCTTGAATTCCTTATAAGGTAATAAAGGTGGGATAAAACTCTAACAAATGTGAACCAAGATTTCCCGCCACGTGTTAAAATTTAACACTACCTATGTGTGTTGTTCCTTGCTCAGCTCGGACACAACGCCTCTTCTGAACGGATCCAGCCAAGACCGCATGTTTGAAGCGATGGCTGTGGAAATTGAGCAACTCTTGGGAAAGGTAAGACCAGCTCTGACTCCTGCTGGAAACACTGATGGTCTATGGAGGTTCTCGATTATTATTATCCAAGTCGTAGTTGTCCCAACTATAAGAGCCAAAGAAGCTTCTCAGCTGAGAAGCGAAATGTCTTCAAAAGAAAAAAACAAGGAAGGTCCAGTTGCCTCCTGGTGAAAAACAGCCCCTTTGAGATAACCAGGATCTGGATGACAGAGAATCTCTACAGACTTTTAGCTGTACCATTTGGGATAAAAGTTCTTAGAATGGTGTGGGAGGAGGAATGGTTTTCCAGAGGAAAAAAAAATGGAGACAAGAGGAACCTGTGATGACTGACCCAAAGGGACGTGGCACAAAAGCAACAAAGTCACAAAAGTAGGTAAAAGTCCCTTTAAAACTTCCAACTTGGCCCCCAATGTCCAGTTATTGTCGGCTGGAGAAAAAAAACCTCTCCCAAGAACAGTTTTTAAAGGGAAGAAATTCAGTCCAAACACAAAGTACATATAGATTATAAATAAAAACCAACACAAACCACACTGCAGCAATTAACGAGACAGGGCAGGATAAGGAATTGCAGACTTCCAAAAGATAAGGAAAAATACACAGTTGGGAGGATGCCAGAACCCAGATAAGACTTGACAAACGAAGATAATGCACACTTTGCTTCCAGCAAGGTGCTGTTTGCAAACACCCTTTTTAAATCCTGTTTTCCCAGCTGCAGCTAATGAAGGGAATCAGGGCCCTTTCTTCCCCCATAACCCCCATTGCTCCTTTCTCTGTTCCTTCCTGCGTGTCCTAGGATGAAGGGGGTGGGTCTGGGTCTTCCTCTGAATGCCCAGCTGGACTTTGCCCTTCCCCAGTTTCTTCCACAGCCACCGGAGCCACACTCCCACTCCCTGTCAGCTGCTCGACCTCCCCCTTGGAATCAGATTCCAACAGGGGCATGACAAAACTATTAGCACCACTCAGGTGACCCTGAAGGACACAGAGAGACCTCCCAGTGGCCTCAACGACCCTCTAAAACAGGGGTAGTCAACCTTTTTATATCTACCGCCCACTTTTGTATCTCTGTTAGTAGTAAAATTTTCGCTAACCGCCCACCGGTTCCACAGTAATGGTGATTTATAAAGTAGGGGACAAAACCCCTACCACCCACCATAAAAGCTGGAACGCCCACTAGTGGGCAGTAGGAACCAGGTTGACTGCCACTGCTCTAAAAGGATGCAAATAGTTATTTAGCTATGGGATGAACATCCTTCAAATGGTGTGGGAGGAGGAATAGATTTCCAGAAAAATTGCAGACTACAGGAACCATGTGCGCTTCGGTTTGAGATGCAGACAACACAAACACATCCCCAACAGAACCATGCCTGTCTTCATTGGTGAAGGGACACAGGGCAGAAAACACCCTGCAGCCAAGAAGGCTCCACATCCATTTGCACCACTCCGGTGACCCCGAGGACGCGGATAGACCTCCAAGTGGCCTTAACGGCTCTCTAAAAAGAATGCAAATGACCACCAAAATGCTAACACTGTAAACCACTCAGAAAGGGCGTATATAAATCTAAGTGCTATTGCTAGTAAGTCGAGGAGTATATCTAAATCAGAAATATTCTATGTTGGATTGTGCCCAGTTTTAAGTCAAGACAATGGGCTTATACAATAACAATTGGTTTAAAGCAGGGGTGTCTGTGGCAACTTGACTTGTGGACTTCCAACTCCCAGAATTCCCCAGCCAGCAAGGGGGAATTTGAGGTTTTTAATCGAGGGTCTCCTGCTTGGATGAGGTGGGTGGGGTTGGAGTAGATCAAGGGTCGCCAATCTTTTGGACCTCAGGGACCACCAAACTCATACTTTTAAATCCCGTGGACCAGAGACCCTGGGAAAATCCCAAAAAAAGGCTGCAGGGAAATTCCCCACCCCGTTTTCCTACCAATCGTTGTTTATTTGGGATCGTAGGATTCCGTCTCCAGCTCCGTTCTCGGGAGAGAGAGAGAGAGAGAGAGAGACTTTTGGCTTCATGCAAAGAAAGCAGCAGAAGTCTTTCTTTCTCTCCCCCAAACTCCGCCAGAAATGAGTCTTTGCCGGCACAGCCTCTTGGAGCAGGAGGCCTTGCAGGGTCCCAAAGACTCATTTCTGGCGGAGTTTGGGGGAGAGAAAGAAAGACTTCTGTTGCTTTCCTTTCGTGCAGCCACAAGCAGAAGAAGAAAGAAAGAAGTGGAAAGAAGCAGCCCGGTGGCCAGGCGAGGCGCATGGGGCAAGTTCCCCCCTCCGCCCTTTCCCCCCTCCCCTCACTACCTCATGTTGTTCACAGTGCAAGCGGCGCAAGCCTTGTGTTCTCGTGGGCCATGTGGGTGGCGCAGCCTGGATTAATTGCTTTGGGGGGGACATTTCTCTGCGGACGACCAACATTTTCTCACAGACCACCAGTGATCCCTGGCCCACCGGTTGGCGACCACTGGGCTAGAAGACCTATAAGGTCCCTTCCAACTCTGATTATCTGTCAGTATATTTGACGCGTCGTGTCAAGTTTGCTGCTTATTGAATTGTTTGTCACAGATCCACAAAAAGCTCTTGTTTCTCAAAGCCGCTAACGCTCTCGTTTCTCTCTCGTAGCTGACAGCGGTCAACGACAAAATGGCGGAGTACACCAACAGCGCTGGCGTCCCCTCCCTCAATGCGGCTCTGATGCACACCTTGCAGCGGCACAGAGACATCCTACAGGTAAGGCAGTCTCCCTGAGCGTGGGCTTTCGGCTCCCCCATCTACAGACAGTCCTCGACTTATGACTGCAATTGAGCTGAACGTGCCCGTTGCTAAGCGAGACATTCGGCTAAGTGAGTTGCGCCCTTTCTGCCACCATTCTTTTTTTTTTCTTGAATAAAAATACTTTATTAAACAAATGTGTACAAATCCAGTAACGTCAAACTTTCCACTTATCGCAACTTAAGCAAAACAGCGTTCACTCAATCTGACATTTCTCACTCTATGGAAAATCCTCTTTCACGGTTATTACTTTAAAGATATAATATACAAAGTTTCATCTAATAATATTACAAATCTAATTACATGTAATGTTACTAGTTTCCGTCATACCTTTTTATTTGACTTTGTTTTATTAATTTCATGTCTGTCTTCTAGCCAATTATACCAACAATTCCAAATCTCGTAATATTCTGATTCCTCTTGGTTTTTAAGTTCCAATGACAGCCTGTCCATTTTTGGTTTCCATTCAGTTTTAACTTTAGTGATTTCTTCAAGCCAATTACTAATTTTCCTCCAATACTTTTTTGCTTTTGGGCAGGGCCACCACATAGGGTAGTAGGTGCCCTGCTCATATCCACATTTCCAACAGCTTTGCCGGGTTATTAGGAAACGTTTTTGCAAGTCTCGCTGGCAGTAGGTGCCAGCGATAAAACATTTTGTATAAATTCTCCTCGTAAGTTGCGGATAGAGTTAATTTACCGTTCTTAAGCGAATCCCTGCCATAGTCACACGGTCGTTAAGTGAATCCGGCTTCCCCACTGACTTTGCCGGTCAGAAGGTCACGAAAGTTGACCCCGGGGCACTGCAACCATCATAAACACGGGCCTGTTCCCAAGCCTCAGGATTTTGATCGGCGAATACGGGGAGGTTGCAACCGTCATATAAGTATGAAAAATGCCCCTAAGTCAACTTTGTTCAGTGCTGTTGTAACTTCGAACGGTCACTAAATGAATTGTTGTAAGTCGAGGATTCCCTGTATATTTGCCGAGCCTTTTAGAGTTAAACACTAAACATTCCTGTGCACAAAGCCAGGGAAAAATCTCTTCCCCAGCTTAAAAAAAAATTAATTAAAAAAAATGTTGCAAAGTTTCTTTCCTTCCCATCTGGGTCATTTTTAAATCAATTTAAGCGTTAATGTTTATTAGGGGAATTCTGGGAGTTGACGTCCACAAGTCTTAAAGTTCCTACCGTGTTTTCCCAAAAATAAGACCTACCCGGAAAATAAACCCTAGTGTCATGCCCTTGAGGGAGTCTGACTATGAGGATTGAGCAGTTGACAGGGAGTAGGAATATGGCTCTGGTGGCCGTGGAAGAAACGGAGGAAGGGCGCAGTCCAGCTGGGCAGTCAAAGGAAGACCCAAGCCGATACCCTCTTCATCCTAGGGCACGCAGGGAGGAACGGAGAAGGGAGCAACATGGCTTACGGGAGAGAAAAGGGCCCTGATCCCTTTTGTTAGGAATATGAGTCACCTAACAGCTATTTGGGTTAGAAATATATAAACCAGGATAAACATTTTAAAACTGTAACTTTAAGAAAATGCAAAACTGTAATTAGGTGTGGTTTCTCAAACGGCCATAAGATGGAGCCAGAAACCTGGTTTGTTTAGTCTGAGTCTCAGAAGAGAGTGTGAGTGTATCTCTGTTTCCTTCTGTTGGAAAGTGCTGCTGTTGCTCCATTTCTTCCAATTGACTGATATTACTGGATTTAATGTAAGTCTGATACTGAACTATTTATTGACACTGGACTTTGATATTTGGATTATCCCTGGATTGAAAAACTGACTGATTTTACCTGTGAATGACTTTTGGACTGCTTATTTTGAACTTTGCTTAACGTTTCTGGAAGTAAAAACCTACATTTATTGTACAGTGTATCTGTGTGCTGTGTGTGTGTATTATTCAAACACTACTCTCAAATACGTCTCCCTGTATGCGCTCGTTCTAACGGGGAATTACCTCAACACTTTTCATTGGTTGCAGCTGGGAGAACAGGATATAAGTGGGGCGTTTGCACACGCCTCCTTGCTGGAAGCAAAGCGTGCATTATCTTGGTTGAGCCTTATCTGGGTTTTGGCGTCCTCCCAACTGCGGGTACGGTGTTATCCTTTGCAAGTCTGCAATTTATTATCTTGGCCTGCCGTGTTCATTACTTCAGCGTGGTTTGTGTTGTTTTTTTTAAATTTCTAATTATCTTTACTTTGGGTTCGGACTGCATTTCTGCCCTTCGCAGACTGTTTTTGGAAGAGTTTGTTATCCAGCTGAGGATAATTGGACATTGGGGGCCAAGTTGGAGGCATTAAAGGGAATTTATTCTTTGGTGACTTTGTTATTTTTGTGTCATGCACCGTGTCATCACACCCAGTTTGATTTGTTAGTGTGCTCCTAATATAAGCTCTACCCCAAAAAATTAGCCCCAGTTAAGGTCATTTTATCAGCTGGCGGGGGGGGGGGGTTGAGGAGGACCAGCACCAGAGGTGGTGGGGGCCAACGGTGTTGGGCAGACCGTGCATCACAGGTGAGTTGATTACGTATCCAAGAGCAGGGGCGAGGCCGAGGCTGGGCGGGAGGCATGCGATCCGGATGCACCAAACTGGCCATGGGAAAGCCAAGGGTTGGGCCGGAGTGGCTGGCTGGCCGCGGGAGGCTCATCTTTGCATTGTCAACTCATAAAATATTTCTATGGTCGTTTTAGAATTGCCAACAGAAAGGGAGGGGAGGAAGGGGTTTGAAAGAGCAGTGCGGCAGCTTGGAAATCAAAAGTGCATTCCATACATAGTTTTTCAGAGATAGTAACTAGGTGACTGAAGTTTCTGCCACGCAAAAATCTTACTGGAGAACATGATTGATGACTCTTGGCTATGGAGGTGTCCCATTGGAGAATATGAATTATGATACACCCAGAGGGGGTGGGGGGAAAAACCAGGGTCAAGGGTGACAGTGAATTACGTGTCTCAGAGTCGGCTGCACCCAGGCAGTGCCGGACATGTTCACTCCCAATAAACCCTTTGGAAGTTTTGGAAGTTTGGCTCGAGGCTCATGATTTAAATGGGGTAACTGCCGGAATCCTGACATGCATCTCTCGGCTTTCCCGCGGCCTGCACAGCGCATCTGGATCATTGCCTTCCCTTGCACTTTTGCCTCTGCTGCTTGGACAGGTAATCGACT